TCGAAAAGTAGCAATTAGCACACGAACCGGTTTGAGAGAAATGAATGTCGATTATAAAAGTGAAATGCAACAAATGTTAACAGAAGCACGACATGCCAACTGTGTTGCTTTTATATTAGATGAAATTAAAATTGATCGAGTACCAATGTATGGGTTTTTCATACGAGTTGTAAGAGATAATGATTTTTTGAGTGTCCTCTTTTTTATAAAGAATACGATATGAAAAGTGGTGATGCAGATTCTCTGTGTAAATGGTTTGTCAAATGCATTAAAAAACTTCATATTAAAAGAAAGTTATGGACAAATGTTACAGGAGATGGCAATTTTGTAATTAGTGGAGAATTCAATGGTATGATAGAAAAGATCAATCAAAAAATCAATCCAAATAAAAAAGAATGTTATGGCGCATATAAGAGTTTTTGTGGTTCTTGGTGTAAAGGCCATTTAAGTAATTTGGTAGATGGAGATGTTTTGGAATATGGGTTGCTCAATATAACAACCACGTTCATTAAATACTTTTGTACCAAATCTGTTCGAACGAAATATGAAAATATTTAAAAGACAACTCCATAAAATTGAACATAATTTCAACGTTTTGTTCTACAAGGTGGGAGTATGTAGGAAACAACTTAGAAGATATAATTGATCAAAGAGAATTCATAAATAAATTTATATTACAAGAAGAAATACAACAGGAAATCCACGATTATTTTGAAGAAAGGCAATTAATATTTATAAATGAAATACCTGACAAACAACGAATTTTTGAAATACAAAGAAATGTTAATTTTGACTTAATGCATCCAAAGATACAAGTTTCTTTTGATTTGTGTTTTGATTTGTGTCGACTTCTTGTTCCATTTAATAGGTGTCTTCAAGTCAGAAGAGCTGTTATTTGGAATATGATTGAACTTTCTGATATGTTTATTGATCATGTTAAAGGAATAATTCGACAACTTGAAGAGAATGAAGAGAACTTGCAAGAATGTATTCCTTTGTCTTCACAAAATGGACTCAAATTTGATAACAAAGAAATATCATATTACTTTAAAGTATTGTATGTTATACTCCAAATGCGCTTTAAAAACAAATTACGTTCAATTAATGTGTTAAAATTTCAACCAACAGAAGAAGATTATATGGAAGTGCGTACTCCTGTTGGATGTAAATTTGAAACAAAAATTGACACATTATTTAATATTTTTTATTTGCCAGAAATTGCACTGTCTTCAAATTCTGACGAGGAAGCTTTTCAACGTATTGACATTTTAATGTCTGAATACAAAGAACACATTGATGAAGTACACCACTTTATCTCAAATGTAAGAAGTCGACCATGGGATGTTATTGAACAAAAAAGATCTGAATCAAAGTCCAAAAAGTGTTTAAACGTGTTTGAATTAAAACTTCGTGGTGAACACTATGTTGACAAACTTCATTTATCTTCGTTTTATCCGTTCAATAAAGCTGAATTTCCGTTTCTACATAGTGTATTGTGTTTCATGTTTTCCGTTTGTCCGACATCTGTTTGTGTTGAAAGATTTTTCTCTAATGTTAAACAAGTCACAAAGATCAACATGAAAACTTCAACAAAATTCAAAAGACTCTTTTTGAGTCTTTATTATCACAGACTTCTCTTTGAGTTTAAGTCATTTTAACGTGTTTAAAGGATTGGTTTAAATTATCATTTTCAAAAATATTCTGACTTAAAACTGGACAACCTTTGGTTTTATGTATATTCATTGAATACTTAACTAAAATGAATTGATGTTTGAAATGAAGTTTTTATAAAAAGTGTCATTTATTATGAAAAGTTAAATTGAATTTAATAATTTGAGCCTTTTTATAATTAATTATTACATAATAATAAAAAATATTAATGATATTTCTAATTATTAAACAAAATTTTTGTTTTAAATTGAATAAATTATAGTTGATTTAATTAAAAAATATAACTATAGTTAATGGATAGATATAGTTATATATATACAAATATTATAAACAGTCAAACATGTATAATAAATTTAATAGTTTTTGAATAATTATAATTGTTGTTTTTTAATAATCCCATTTGCCTCCAAAAAAATAAAAAATATCAAACAAAAAGTTAATTTCCTTGTTCTTGAAGATTCGAATTTAATCTTTTGAATTTAAAACCTTTTTTTGAATACATTCAAATGGTATTTTTTACAATAAATATATTACATCCGAAAGAAAGCAGGATAAATTCTTCTTGGAACTCTTCAATTCAAAGGCTATAGCTGAACCACCAAAAGGACAAAACAACACGTCGAGTCAACTTAAACCCAATGACATCATCGCTTATCAAAGCCAATTATTTCACAATGAACTTATAACTCGACAACACAAAATATGTTAATTTAAGTGTGCTAATAAGTACACGCCATAACTTGTATATCGACTTCTAAACAAACGCTGGATCACCCGAATAATAATTGTTAATTATCAAATTATTCAAACTAAATGACAACAAACTTGAATGTACGTATGTGATGACATGAAAACATTCAAAAGACATTAAATTATTTTTATTTTATTTTTGTTTATGATTTTAACTGAATTTGATTTGTTACATATATTTATAATAATAGATAATGACATACGTTTTCCGAAATATATTTATGGTTTGTGGTGTTTTATTTTTAGTTTAAAAATTTAATTAACGTGTATTTTTTTAAAAAAATGAACAATAAAACATGTTTTTATAAAAATAAATCGGGGTTTTCAGCTATTATATTATAATTCGTAAATTAATTATAGCTCAAAATGTTTTAAATAACACAATTTGAGCAATAACTTTTATAGATCTTTTTTTTAAGATGAAAAAAAATATTTTTGCCGAGAAAAAAATTTCACGAAATTTTATTTTTTTTCAAAATTTAAGACGAAAAAAAAATAATGTGCCGAACCATGGTATTAGACT